CGAGCGGGCCCCGAGCCCTAGGCGCGCGGAGGGCCCCGCCAGTCAGCGCCCGGCGGGTGCATGCTGGGGCACCAAAGCGAGCTGGCCAATCACAGCGCAGCGGCGCGCCCGGCAGTTGTCGCCTCTCTCCTTATAGTCTCTCTACTCGCCGCTAGTGCCGGATTTTCATGTCACAAGGGGTTGCTGCCTCTTTACGCTTTTCCATTTTTAAGCGGTGCAAAGCAACACAGGAACGCCGACATTAGCTGCTGCTAAACTGTACACTGTGAACCTGTGGCCAGTGGAGGCCTCAGCCCCCGGCAGATAGGCAACCCATTCGACTTATCGCCCTCACTGGATTCACCGGATTTCTGAAACCCACTGAAACCGAAAACCCCTTTGCTTTGCATCAGCCCAAGAAGGAAGAGGACGTGACCTCCTCGCACTCTCTCTCGCTCTCTCGCTCTCCCGCCACATGCCGGTCCTCGGCGGCTGCGTCCAAACGGAGATGCCGATAAAGGCTCCAGAGATAGGCCGCGTGTGAATGGAACGGGATGCTGACAAGTTGAGTTTTCTTTTTTGTTTCTCTCCTCTCAACGCGATCCCAAGTCACTGGCGACGCTGGCGACCCGGAACGGACAAGAGTCGGGATGCACCCAGAAAAAGTAGGGGGCGGGGGGGAAGTACCTACACAAAGCTTCGCTCTGTCCGCATCCAACGGGTTTGTTCGAACTTCTGGGAGGAAATGAAACACTATACTCCCATTCCTCAAATCGTTTGTTTCTTTCGTTGTGCGAAGCGGGTATCCTTTACTGCCGCAATTTCCTCCGAGCATGCCTAATTATAAGCAGCTGATTATTATCACGAAATACTGTGAATAGGATCGTCAGTTACAGAGAAAAGGAAGACATCCTGGCAAAAGGACGGGGGCAAATCTCACAGCGGGGCTCTAAGCTCAGTTGGATTGTGAAACAAACACGTCAGAAGCGGGGGAGGCGGGGGGGACGTCGCACTATGTACACCTTTACCGACTGCCGTGTGTCACAATTCACCACAAGATCGGTTTGCGCTGTGCTTACGAAACTGCCAGCTGCTCTTCAGGTCATTCTGCGGTAAAACTTTCCCGACAGAATGTTTGCACCCCCCTCCCCTCCATTACCCTTCCACATCTGCGATTTTCAGAGGTTTTTTTGCCGCTACGCTACGCGCTACGCAGTGTCAAACTCGTTCGGACGGCTGCACCTGTTGAAACATTGACAGGCCTGGTATGTGGCGCATTGGCCGGCATTGACATTGAAAGCGGCCGTCGCGTCGGTGAGTCGGCGTCCCGCGGCATCAGCGAGCGGCCCGACGAGCACGGCGATGACGACAGACGACAGGCGAGTCCTTGGAGTAAAACCGCTCTTGGAGTCCAGTATCAGGGGTGATTCATTCACACACACACACACACACACACACACACACACACACACACAGACAGAGAGAGAGAGCAAGAGCACCCCGACGTCAGCCAAAATGGGGGAAGCCCAACAAATTAAACGAGTAAGACATGAGGTACGGACGGAAGATGTTATTCCTTTGAAATATTCTTCCTCGCCCTGAACTCTCACCTCGTGGATGCAGTAGAAGTAGTGCCTGAAGACTTCCCTGTAGGAGTTCGCGAGTATCGCTGCTGAGCCACACGACGACACGGACCGGGGGGCGCGGCGGCGGGCGCAGCTAGCGGCGGCGGCGAAGTTCAAGGACCTCACTGGAGCAGCGGCGGAGAAGTTCAAGGACCCCGCGGCGGCGGGCCTGGCGCGCCGGAGGCTGATGGCTCTGCTTGCAGGGGATTGCAGGAGGGCTCTCACGCGGTCCGCGGTGCGTGCGTGCGTGCGGGTGTGCTTGCTGCTGCTGCTGCGTGCTGTCAGGACGGCTCCTCGATGCCGACTGACTCGAGCACCACACCACACCACGGCTCGGCTCCCTGACTGGGGCCCAGCCCCAGCAGGCCAGACCGCTGTCGGCGAGACGCGCCCTGCCCCGCCCCGCCCCGCCCCGCCCCGCCCCGCCCCGTCGGCCCCATCATAACGCCCCGCACCCCGCTCCCGCTCGGGCCCAAGCATGTCCAGAGCCACGCCACCCAGGCAGCGGCAGCCAGCGGCCGACAGCACGCCGACGGTGAGCGCCATGCGCCACTGGCGCTCTGGCGCCACGGGGGCCACGGAGGCCTGGGCGGCTCTCCCATCGGCCATCGGCCCCACTGCGCTCACCTGCAGCGACACACCAGGATGACGGTGCTCCACAAAAAAACATCGAAACATCGTGATCTTTGCCGACGCGACCTAAACGAGGATCACGACAGCGCGCGCGTCGGACGCGGGGGAGGGCGGGAGCGGGGTCTTCCCCGGATCACGAGACAAGCATGGCACGTGCGTCTCCGCCGCTACAGACTGTTTTGCACTTGAAGCCCTTCAAGGTTTTCCCTGCGGGGATACCACTCAGTGTGTATCGCTAACCCTTGGGCGAATCTTTACTGCCCCACTCACAGGAAACCCGAGGAAACTCCAACAAACCGTGCGGCACGCCTGGGCAGCATACCACCGGACTCACCGTCCGATGGGAAAGGCCGGCCACTGGCCACTGTTTTGTCTTTCACACACTCTCGCCGTCTATACATCTTTCGTCGCGATGATCTAATACACAACAAAAGCGGCACGGAAAGGGTTGTCAGCAGCAAGTCAGTCCGCGTCAGTGCAGCTGTCGGCGGGGAAGGGGAGGGGGGAGGCCCATCCGAGTGAGCTGGGAGATTAGTACAGAGGCAAAAGCAATGTGTGAGTGTGAAGGGGGGGGGGGCACGGGCTCAGACGGAGCCGGCAGACGCGTACAAGCGTTTGCGGCAATATAATACGCACAAAGCGTGGCGGGGCGGGGTATGTGCCCCTGCTGCCCTGGGCCCCGCCCGGCCCCGCCCCCTTCAGTGCGGCCGGATATGCCCAGCCGTTTGCAGCGTTGCCGAGCCCCCCAGACATTCCGCACCGTATGCCATGTCACTTGGGTGGCCGCCCCGTGTCGCGAGTGCACAGTCCTCCTATGCAACATGAGCATGGCACACGCGAGCGGGTGGCTTTTGTGTCTGCCTGTACCGCCTCCGGCCAGCCCGCGGCCAGCCCGCGGCGCCGCCGCCGCGGCTCCCGGGGAGTGCAGGCGACCCGCCCGCGGTACGGTCCAACAACTGCGGAAGAGCGGGCGGGGGTGAAGCAGCCTCACCTGGTACTTTGGGGACATCGTCGTGTGTCGTGTGTGCTTCCAGGACGTCGGAACGCCCGTGGCCGGGGCTCATAGCTCATGGGGCACTTATTCGAGCACATGGGGCCGGGGTACCCGCCTCAATAATGGGCCATGGGCTTCGGGTGAAGGTCGGCCGCTTTTCTCCTCTAATGATTTTCAGTGGATGCGGCGCGGCGCGGTGGGCGCGGCCGCGGTGCCCACGGCCCACGGGTGGCGCCTGTTGGATCACCGGCGGTAACGGGTTGCCCCCCCCCCCTCCCTCTCCCTCCAGGTGT